TTTTACAGGTACACAACATCACGGCTACGCGTCCATTCGCGGTTGATGAAAGGAATTGCTTCGAGGATGCGATTTCCGTGTGTGGCGAATTTGAGCTTGATCCTACCGCGGCTCCGGCCTTAATCGACAAAATGAAAGGGTACTTCGAGTTCGTGGTCGGCTTCCCACTGATCCAGATGAGGAATGAGTTTTGCCCTCTGGCTGGCAATATGGCGATTTACGTGGAACCACAACCAGGGGGCAACACCTGCTTGAACTTCGAAGACTACAAACAATGCGAACCACCAACAAAGCCCTTCCCCGCGTGCAAGTAAGTCCTTCATGCCGCTCTGATCAGGGGAAAAAGCAGAGGAAGGCGCGTACATTGAGCGATAAGGTTTAACGAACACCCTGCTGAGACACAGATTCAGGTTTTCTTGTTGTATGCAGCAGCGTGGCTATTTGTTACTTAGACGCGGCAGGAGAAACCCCTGAGTAGGATCCTAAGAAAATCTGAGTAAGAGCGAACGGAGTGCAGTCCTGACAGTGGTTCAGCATACGGTACCTGTGTGTCTTCCGAACCAGCGGAATACCCAGCAAGGCGTGTTTGTTTGTACGATGATCTGGCGACATCTGCCACCGGGGCCATCCAACTCACAAGCCATCAGTTTGCCGTTCAGTTTGCCGTTTCAGTTTGCCGTTTAGAAGCTCTAGTCTGTTCTCTCCTGCCGCATCTTATGATAAATTTTGAACTATAGCCTCAGTCGGTTTACGGCTTTTGGCTGCTGTCGCTGTCTCCAATCCGGAAAAGCTTATTCGTTGGGCCTGTGGGGGCAAACGGCAAGGCGGCTTGTTGAAGGACCGTAGCATACGTGACTTCTGAGCACTAGCGAGTCATTGCGTACACTTCATAAACACCTCTTCTCCTTAAAAGCAAGGAAGACCAAGGAATACGACTGAGCGGACCTACGAAACGTTTCTAACCTCTTGACCGAAGAAGAAGTTGCGCCAGCCAGCCAGCCAGCCAGCCAGCCAGCCAGCCATTCCGTCGGCGGAAAATGGCGGGATGGATTCCGTTTCCGTCCTACGGGGGGTATCCAGCACAACGGCATGCAGCAGTAATCCAGTTCTCGACATACGCTGGCCTTGCGTGCGACCCGTCTCGTTTAATCCCTAACCGCCAATGCACCCCGGGCGCTGTCGCAGCTGCAACACAACCGTTGCCACCACGCCGTTCTACATATCGAGCAGTGTTACTACGGAGGCGGGTCGTACTCCGAGTACTAGTTTGTACTGCTTCACCGTAAAGCAGGTTCCAGTCGAGCGCCTTATCCGCCGGGTACGAAAACCATGACACAAAACTTGAATTGGCTTTGCTATATGTATGAAGCGGACAATGAAATATGTCAGGACGGAATGAATGCATGCAATTGTGTACGGTATTTGTAAGGGTTACTCAACTGGTTTTCAAAAAAGTGTTTTATATTTAGGCTATAATCCTAAATCGATGTCCAATCCTCGCTATTCGAATCCCTGCCTCGCTGCTTCTGCATCTCAGCGTACCTTATCGCCTTTTTTTAATTGCTCCCTTTCATTTATCGTGCACAATCCTCTGCTGCCCTCCCTGGCCTACCCCTCCCCCCCCTTCCCCCGGCTCCCCTCCCCCCCCCCTCCAGCCCTCCTGCGGCCCCACGGGCGTGTTGGATAAGGTGGAGGTCTACGCGGATGAGAAGCGGCGCCGCAACATCACCGGCATCAGGGTCACACCCAACGGAGGTCCAACACGCTGGCTGTCGCCGTCGTGGGGGGCCAACGGAACAAACACACTCAAAGGTATGACGACATGACCCAGAACAAAGGATCATCCCGATGCGCCTTTCTGCACTGGAAAATGTGTGGAGACTGGTAATGACGAAAAAAGGAGGCGAATGTAATGATGAAAACGTGTCGCCGACTGGAAGTGCATTACGGCATTCCAAGCAGGTTGTTACATTTCATTCGGTAATCTGCACGCCCTGCGACTCATAAGTGTGTTTCCGGCCTCTGGCTTTCCGTGCGCAGCCACACCCCTGAACTGGAATCTGACGTCGGCCATCGGCGCCCAAGTTTGCTTGGAGCTCACCATACCCCTGGACACATTCTGCCTGGGGGAGCGTGTGTGGTGAGTAGCAGGCGGTGCTGGTGCTAGTAGGCCGGGAGCGTGTGTGGTGAGTAGCAGGTCTCTCTCTCTCTCTCTCTCTCTCTCTCTCTCTCTCTCTCTCCTCTCTCTCCTCTCTCTCTCTCTCCTCCTCTCTCTCTTCTCTGCGTCACAAGACTGCAGTATCCCGGGTACCTTATATCTCCTGGATGATGATGCTGGCCACTGCCACCAGCTCGCCATTTCTTCTTACCTAACAACAAGGCAACAGGAGTAACAAGGACCTATCGGGAACCCCCTGTCCATTGCCCCCCTTCCCGTGCAGCTATATGAGCCTCTTCAACGAGAATAACAACTGCTGCCCGACATATCCCGCAACATTGCCGTACGAGCCGGACTTCCCGGTCATTGACCCGTTTCCGGCCATTGACCCGTTTCCGGCCATTGACCCGTTCTACGTCATGAACCCGTAACATGCAAAGGGCCGCATGTGCTGTGCTGCTGCGTATGCATTGTCGTGGACGCGCACACACAGAGATTAAGCCGCAGTTGTAGCTGTCCATTGCTCCTCTAGCCAGAGCCAGCCGAGAGCGACCCTCGAATCGAGCAGACATCCTCGCGATGTGTGTGTATGTATGTATATATATGTGTGTATGTGTGTGTATGTGTGTATGTGTGTGTATGTGTGTATGGCAGTACCCGTTCTATTGGCGGGCAAGCAGGATATTGGTGGTGATGGACGCTCTTGCCTCACATTTACTGATGATGGGGCTCTTGAGCAGATTGGGCTTTGCTGCCACCTAGTACCAGCAGTATAGGGTTGAGGAGACGACCAGTTCTTTCGACTGTCCTTTTATGATGGTATGATATCGAGCTGCTGGGGCAGAATAGGTTCATGTATGTATGTTAATAACATTAAATCCTTCCATTGGATGCATAGCTCACATATTCGTTTATTGCCGTACTATAATACTGCACGTACATAGTTATAATTTGCCGTTCTGCTGGAGGGTTGGGATAGACCGTCCGCCGCGGCCATCTCGATGAAACACGATGCACCGATATATCTCTATGACAATATTGACGATATTCAAGTGGAATATTTTAATCTAAGTCGGTTTGACTATTTATTAGGTACATACACTAAACGTTGAAAGGGTGTTTGAATTTTTTGCACCTTGTCGTAATTTCGGGTTGCTCTTTAGGGTTGTTAATTTGCTATCTTTCAGAGCTGTGACCAGCAGGGGTGCAGCTGCTGGGTTGCGCTAAACGCTTTATCAGATTATTTAGATGGTGCTGGTGTGAGTTGAGATGAGCCGTGTGCTAGCTAAATGCAATAGATATGCGATAGGTTTGGCAAGCCGGCACTTGTACAAGTACCTATCCATCTGCACCATGCCGGCTTGCCAAACCTATCGCATATCTGTCTCTGACATGTCAGAGACAGATGCTCTTATTAGCTTTGCTCAGATTGCTACTGTGTAGATAGCTAGGCTTTGATTGGACCAGCTATAGATTTTATATTGTTGAGCTAGGTATATTTCCGTTGTACCAGGACTTTCGCTTCCTCTCCCAGCGCCTTCCAGTGCCCGCAGGTGGCTGCAGCCAGCTGCCAGCCGGCTGGCTGGGAGGGGCCTCGCTCGTGAGGTCTGTGACACGTGTGGCATTAAGCAGCAGCTGATGATGATGATGATGATGATGATGATGAAGACCCCTACATCTTCTCTTATTCTGCAATCTTGCCGTGTCCAGCTAGATGCCGCATAACAACCCCGCATACATCCCCTGTAATACCTGGGAAAGTTATATGAGGGAGAGAAGTGCGGTCACTAAGGAAAAGCCACTGTCCTCTAAAACCAGGTCATGTTATGTAATTTAGCTTTCACGACTGGCTGCAAAGTGGGCACCCTCCTGTGTATTGCTGGGCAGGAGGAGCGCACTAGCGGAACCGGGGCTCCTATTATATTACTGCAGAACTGGGCCGAGCTTGTGCCGAGCATTCCTACAGAACTGGGCCGAGCATTACTACATTCCTCCCTTCATACATCCCTCCCTCCAAACTATGGCATAAAAGGGTAGCTATAACCCAAATCGGTCGCTTCGGTAGGGTCACCGATATTTCGTTATTATGTCATGTTATTTCGAGATATCGACCCGGTAACCGACTGGTAACCTTACCGACACCCAGTTAGCACTGGGTCGTTAGCTCGTTATGCCGGTTACCCTACCGACCAGGTAGATAAGCCACCATTTACCGACCGGTTTGGGAGGGTATTCAAGAGGAATAACATCCGACTCAAGCAAATATGTTTAAAACGAACGCGCCACGCACTCGCAGTCGTAGATACTGATGTGACGACTAATGGCGGCCTTGCAACTTCATTAAGTACTGTAGTTTGGGGTAGGCGTGCAGTGCTTCCCAACGTGTTGTAAAGACTTTGCAACTGACAGCGAAAGCGTGGGAGAGGGTAGCGCTAAACGAGCGAGGGCGGACGCAAGGACGGCAGGCAAAAGATCGGTTGCAATACTGTCTCAGACAATGCTGTATGCAGAGATTACATACTCATGATGGTGGTTACTTGGCGGATAGAGGCATGCCTGTCGCGCGCGCCGGCGTGATTCTCGTGGGTAGTCCTGGCTTCTGTGGAAGCAACTCGCGGAAAGTCATAGTAATTTGTTAAAAATCCCGGAGACCATGATTGTTAGATGTGTGATACCTTGCTTTCGCATTGGAGGCAGGGAGCTTCCCTTTTTTCGCATCGAGCACGGGTAGTGGTTGCGTACGGCGCGCTGTGCTGAGCGGGAACCCTCCAAGCGGAGGCTAGACTCAACGTACATGCTTGCATATGCTTACGCAAGCACTTTTGCACGGCATTGATGGAGGCACGAGTGCGTTAGGGTAACGGATAGTCCTTGCCATCAAACCTTTGTGTTTTGTCTAGTGTAACGTTTCCAGCCTGGTACTGTCCACGGAAAAAATGGAATCTGAAAATACTGAAGATGATCAACTCTGTGAGAAAGATCAATCCTTTTTCGAGGAAGCTGCAGAACTCAATAGCTTAATCCAGCGCGTGGTGCAAAGCGACGGCAGCGAATCAACGCAAATTTATGATCGCTACAAAGCCATCGTGGGTGCAACCTAAACCTGCCGCGTACTATTCAAAAGCTCCGCTATTGAGTCGCGGCATGTCACCATGCTGCACCCTTTGACCCCGCTTCGCAGCTTTACAAATACCAGGAGCAGTCGCAGCTTCTAGATGCCTATCTAGAAAGCATTGTTGTACCGCTGGCGACCCTGCTGCGCCGGCAGGCGCTACAGCAGCAGGACCAAAGCCTGCATCGCGTGCTGGGCACTTGTCGGCTGCTCAACGTACTCGTTGTGGTTCGCGGCTACAAGACCGTGGTGCGCTTCTTTCCCCATGAGGCCGCGGACCTGGAGCGCGTTGTGGACATTCTGTGCGCAGTACGAGCGCAGCAGCCGCGCGACGCAGAGGGGGGCATCGCGCTGTGGGAAGCGCAAACAATTCTGCTGCTGTGGCTGTCCATACTCATCCTCATCCCGTTTGACCTTGCCACCCTGGACAGCAGCACAGCCGCCCCGGGTGGAGAAGCTGACAAGTGCGTTGCGAAACAAGATGTGTCACGTCGCCTCAACGCGGTCACGTTACAACCCCCCTTGGGAACCCCTCCTGACCCCCCAAGCCCGATTCATCTCATCCTAGCTCCCCCTCCTTCCCAAATTCTTCCCCTCCGCCCTCTCCACCCCTGAGGGAAATTCCTTTATCTCCCCTCCCACGGAAAAATTCCTTATCACTGTCGCTACTATACAAATTGACTAGGACCAATAATCCCCGCATCCCAACGCCCGATCAAAGTAATCATTTCATTCTCTTACCACCGCCTTCCACGGTTTCCCGCTAGCCTGCTGTCTCTTTCCTGTCGCCATCTGGGTGTGGGCGATCTGGAAGCTTCCAGACAGCCAGCCACACACGCCACCACACCACACCCCAACCCAGCGCCACCCTGCCCTTCGCCACACCTCAGGATCTTGCCGTACACGCCCCTGGTGGGCCGCATCCTGAACCTGTGCCAGGAGTACCTGCACCACCCAGGTGTGTCTGTATGGGCGGGTGTGCAGGGTGTGCAGGGTGGGTAGGGGTGGGTAGGGATCGGCGGGCGTTGCTTTCTGTCCCCTTCCCCTCTCTTTACATGGCTTCGCACACCCCTGAACCCCCTTGACCCGTCCGAAATGACTTAGGCCTCAGGTCTCCGGCTGCTGCTCGTTTTCCTTGGACGCTGTCGTTTTGACGTTTTGGCTTTCGTATGTGTGTATGTATGTATGTATGTATGTATGTATGTATGTGATTTCCCGTCCTCCCTTCAACCCCTTCAGAGCAACCCGGAAACCTGGTGTTCGTTCCCTCTCCCGACCCGACCTGACTCGATCCGATCCAACGCCTCCACTACTTGCATATACATGAAAAAACCCTGGAAACCCCCCACCCGCACCGCTCACCCTCATGTGAACGCACCTCCCCTACATCCGCACCTGCACCGTCACATGCACGATTTCCCCCTGCTACCCCGAGATCGGTTTCCTCCTCTCACCTTTTTGCAAAGTGGTACGATTTGATCTGTTTGTGACACGTGCTTCCCCACCTGCCGCTACCGCTACCGCACCTAGGGGGTGTCCGGGAGATGGCGGCGGTGGTTCTTGGTCGGCTGCTCACCCGGCCTGACATGGGTTCAGCCATGGCGGAGTTCCTGGAGTGGTGTCCTGGCGCGGTTGGGGGGGTGGACCCCCTGAGGCAGCCCTTCCTGCTGCCGGGTGGGTCGCGGCTGGGGGGGGGCGGGGGAAATGGGAGGGAGCGCCGGAAGGGGGGAAGACGAACCCCACGAGCGAGTGAAGCTGATGCCAAGGGAAGACTGCTGCGGCGGATGTGCAGGAAGCATAACTAACCAGCCGGAAGGGGGAGGGGAGGGGACCTGGAGGAGGGGAATTAGAGGGGAGAGAAAAGGGAAGGGTGGCTAGTGCGTTGAGGGGGTTGCAGCATGGGTTGGATGGGAGGAGGAGTGAGAAAGACAGGAAGGGCGCAGTGGCGCGGTAGTGCGATTACCCCGGAATGGGAGTTTGCTCAGCAGACGGAGGGTGCGTGGGTGAGGAGGTGGGGGGAAAGGCACGGACGGAGAAGGAAAAAATTAAACAACAACATAGACACGGATTTGCGAACCCGGACGTGGGCATGGTGCGAGGCGAACCTATGAGGTTGATGTGGGAGCGTTACGAACGGACGGGGAGGGGCCTTATGAGCAACATTTTGGTTTGTGTGTACAAATATTATATAACGGCTGCCGGCTGCCGATGCCTATTTAGCCCCCAGTGATAAAAAGGTTCTCAGCAGCGCCGGAACGCCCTGGCCTTCCTGTCCTCTTAATTTCCTAATTAGGCAGCTGCTTCTCCTCTCTGCTGGTGGACTGCTATGTGGTGTGTGTGTGGTGTCTGATCGGGATCTGGGTCCACGACCCGAGCCACCTTCTTGGGGGGTTGTTAGCACCTTGAAGGGTTATCTTTTGCTGAACCACCCAAAGACTGCCTTTCATCTCATCTTGGGGGACCCACACACACACAACCAACCCAAATGACTTTTTCCTTCCTTCACTGGACTGACGACATGCGGCTGCCTAACCAGGCATCATGCAGGCGCTCTGCTGCGCCTTCAAGCTGGGTCAACGGGACCGGTTACTGCCCTTCGCATCGCGGGCCTGGGCACTGGCGCACTCTCTGGCGGGTTTTGGCGGCAGCGGGTCCAAACCGACCCACGGGTCGGGATCTGGGTCGGATCAGAACGCGCTGGCTCGCAAGCTGACTGTGAAGCTGGTGACCCGCATTGGGCTGACGTTTTTGAAGCCCCGTGTAGCGCCTTGGAGATATGTGCGGGGAGGAGCCAGCTTGGACGTGACGTTGGGGCCCTCCGCCCGCTCTGGGGGTGAGTGATAACGACGCGTGTTTTCCTGCTAATTTGTAGCCGAGTACAGTGTTGGCCCTCCTTCTTCTTCTTCTTCTAACCACCTTACCTTAACAACCCAATTACATCTTTTTTTTATACATCGGGAGATCAGCTCGGGAGAGCTGTGTCTCTCCGAAACCAAGACAACTCTCAACAACGGATATCTTAAGTGGTTTCGGGGGGTATGTGATGTGAGTGGAATAGCGCCATACGGGGCGAGGCAGGGGTGAGTGAGAGCGACGGGTGTCTTTCAGGTGTTGAGAGGGTTCGGGGGGTATGTGTTGTGAGTGATGAGCTCACATACCCCCCGAGTGAAATAGCGCCATATGGGCCGCACTAGGCACCGCCTCCTCTGAGCTGCCTTATCGTCCAGAAGAGTCCTTCTGGCGGTCAGTGGCGGCCAGTGGCGGTCCGCCTGGACAGTCGGTTGGACACGGTGGACCTCGGACAGCTTTCCTTGGAATGCCGCCTTTTCCAACCCAACCACCGGCTCCTTTCCCATTCCCCGCATCCACCCCACCCGCGCCAGCTGCCTTAGGCGCTGTACTCCTAGGGCAGCTGGGCCAATGGACGTGTGAGCAGTCTCGACCCTTTCAGCTTCTTCAGCCTCTTCAGGTGTTATATTGAGGACCTTCCGCCTGTCTTGTCTGTCTTCATAACCCCAGCCTTATTAATCTATCTCAGTCTCCCCGCCCGTCGACCGACCCTGCATTCCCGGGTCCCTCCAACCCCAAACCCCCCTGTCCCCCAGGCCAGACAGAGCAACTTCTGGATGGAGGCGCTACTGGTGGTGGTACGGCGGAAGGGGATGATGATGATGAGGAGGAGGAGGAGATTGAGATTGTTGAGGAGGTTGAGGAGGTGGTTGACGTGTTGCTTCAGTCCTTGCGCGACAAAGACACGGTGGTCCGCTGGAGCGCCGCAAAGGGAGTGGGGCGAGTCACGGGCTGCTTGCCCCGGGAGCTGGGGGATGAGGTAGTGGAGGGCGTCATGCAGCTGTTTGGACCCACGGGTCAGTCAATGGAAGGGGGACAAGGGCCATGTGATACAAGGACAAGGAGGAAAAGCAAAAGGGGGTCCTACCAATAGCCGACATGTCCAAAACACCAAACTAGGAGTCCATAGGAGTCCAAAGCCCTGAAGGGGGGAAAGACGAACCACGAACCCTGAAAGGGGGGAGGGTGAAGAGCCTGCCAGGGGCGGGGAGAGGGATAGCAGGTCTCAGGCTGTGGGGAGGGCCCTCCCGCGATCTGGCCACCGGGCTAAGGAAGGTGGGGAAGGAAGGGAGCAAGGGAAGCACCTTATGATTTAGATTGAAACGCTAGCTTCATGCCCTCCCGTCCCTCCCCCGTTTAAATACCCCCACTCCGCACCTCCTCCACCCTCCTCGGCATCTTTGTCTCCTTCATTTTCTTCGTCTCCTTCATTTTCTTCTTCGTCATCGTTTTCCGCGCCTTCTAATCCCCATCAGAGCTGGACAGCTCTTGGCATGGCGGCTGTCTGGCCCTGGCCGAGCTGGCTCGCCGCGGCTTGCTGCTGCCGAACCGCCTGGCGCGCTTGGTTCCCCTCATCGCCTCCGCGCTGGGGTACGACGTACGGCGCGGGCCGCACAGCATCGGGGCGCATGTGAGGGACGCGGCGGCGTACGTCTGCTGGGCATTTGCACGTGCGTACGACCCGCAGGTGGGTTGTAGTGGGTGGGTGGGAAGGGAAGGGAAGGGGGGGGAATTCGTGTTGGTGGTGGAAGGGCGGTCGAGATGAGGAAGCTTGCACACCCGTGGCGATGTAAATGGCTGCGTGGTGGTGGGATGAAGGTGGCATGGTTCTGTGTGGCATGCCGGCTACCATTATTACCGGGGGATGAGAGGTATGGGTTTGGACTGGCTGTGGCGCCCCGAGGAAGAGGGCACACACACAAACACACCCGTACCAATACCCCTGCGTAGCGAATCTTCTCACACTCGCACTTCAGATGGTTTTTAATTCCGCGAACTTCATTCCTCTCATCAGCGACCCACATTACCTTTCTAGAAGCTCATCGCTCCCTCTCGCCGCCTCTCCCGGTTCCCTCGATCACTCGATCACTTTGGACTCTCACACCTGGTTGGGTATTTGGACGCCGGTCAGCAGTGGACTCTCCTTGGTTTCTTGCATCACCATCCTACCCATCATTATCATACCCATCACTATTGTACCCATCATACCCACAATCATCATCATCATCAGCTTCAGCTTCTTCTTCTTCCTCTGATTCTCCACCCCCCCCCACCCATACACCTCTGCGCCCTCACCTTGGTCTTCTCGCCCATCTTCCGTCCCCTCCCCCCTCCCCTTTTTTACAGCTCCTGGAGGGCAGTGTTACGTTGTTGGCCTCCTCGCTGCTCACCCTGGCCTGTTACGACAGGGAGGTCAACTGCAGGTACGGGAGGGGGGAGTTTGGGGGGGAGGGGGAGAGGGAGGGTGCTAAGGATGGGGATTAGGCAACCAGATTCGTCCGACAGGAATCCGACTGCACTCCCGAAGAACGGGAACCTCTACCGATCGCGGTAGAGGATAGCGGGTGTGGTGTGGATGGCGGTGGTATGGTAGCGGTTGGGTGGGTGCTGGTGGCAGTGATTGGTGTGGGTGGGTGGGTGGGAGGTGGTGAGGGGTGGGATGGGTGGTTGGGGGAAAGCCGCACCCGGACTCGCACTCGACCCAACTCATTACCGGTGGTGTGGTGGAGCTGCTGTCGCCGACCCGGGGGTCTGCGGGTGAACTGCAATGGGCCGCTGCTGCTGCCGCCGCCGCCGCCAGCACCATCCCGAAGCCTCCACCGCCGCTAATCCCCACCACCACTAACACCCGCCAACCAATACCCCCCCCCCTCCCTTCAGACGTGCCGCCGCCGCCGCTTTCCAGGAGGCCGTGGGTCGCCTGGGTAACTTCCCCCACGGCATCGCCCTGCTCACCGTGGCGGACTACTTCTCAGTGGGCATAGCACAACAAGTGAGGGGGGGGGTTTGCTCGGCTAGGCTCGGGTCTGATTTGACCTGACCTGATCTGATGTAATACGACCGGATCTGATCTGTCTCTAGACGTGGGGGTGGGCGGGTGGCCGTGTGTCTTCCTCCGCCCCCACAAACAGTTGCATGGTGACTCGTGTCTTCCTAGGCATTGCGACACGTTGAACCCCCCCCTTGGCCCCCCCCCCGCCCCATCAGGCCTACCTGCGAGTGGGCCCTCAGGTGGCCGCCATAGGGCCCGAGTACCGCACCCCCCTGGCCACCCACCTCGTCAAGGTGAAGGCTAGGCACTGGGAGAAGAGCCTGAGAGAGCTGGCGGCGAGGGCGGCAGCGGCGCTGGTGCCGTACCATGCGTCGTACTTTGCAGGGCCGGCACTGGACGAGCTGCTGCCTGCGTGCCTGAACGAGCAGCTGGAGGTGTGTGGGCTGGTGTGGTCGTGTCTGGCTGACTGTGTGACCGAAAGGGGGGCATCGCCTGTTTCGTCTTAAGAGGAAGTAGGTACACGAAAGAGCGGTAAATGTGGGTTGTACGTACGTATGCATGTATGTTGTTACAGGGTGGTTAACTTCGCCGGGTAGTAACTGCTCTCCCCTGCTAGAGGGGCACCCTAATCCGTCACCCCATCCGACTTCAGAATGTATTCGTTGGGTTCGGCAACTCACCACCAGCATCCAACCAAACCTAGCGGATCAACGGCGCATCAACTTAGTTCCTGGTCAGCTCGTAAGTTAATTTTATCACGTCCTACATCGTCCATATGATGGGGGGCCACCTCCCATTTCAACACTCCTCAAACACCCGAGGAGCCGGCAGGCGGATTGGAACCCGGGTCGGCCGGGAGCAGAAGTCAGGCCTTAACCTCTGCCAGCCGCCTGCCTACAAAAATGGTGTCCCTACCCGGATGTATGTATGTATGTATGTATGTATGTATGTATGTATGTATGTATGTATGTATGTTCGTTCCATTCCTTGTTTCCCTGTCTTTCTTCCGGGAGTGGAATAACCCGCCGCAACCCCCCCCCCCGGGTTCACTCTAGCAGTCGGCGCATTGGACGTCAGCTTCACTCGAGCCTGTCCTTCTGTCATGCATTTCCCTCCACAACCCCGGGTGGGGGGACCCCTGTTGCCCCCTCTCCGGTTTCAGGTCCGCCACGGCGCAGTAGTGATGGTGGCGGAGCTGCTTCCCGCGCTAGCAGCAGCAGCAGCCTCTGCTTCGGCCTCCGAAACCAGCACCGCCGCCAGCTGCTCCTCCCCCCCCTGCTGGCCCCTGGTTCCGGAGCGCCAGGCCGCTGTGGCGGGTCTGGTTCCCGCCATTGATAAGGCCCGGTTGTACCGGGGCAAGGGCGGCGAGGTGATGCGGGAGGCGGTGGGTCGGCTGGTGGAGCGGTGCGCGGGGGTGGGGCTGGAGCTCAGTGCCCAACAACATGCCAAGGTGCTGGAGGTGAGTTCGTGTATGTGGGGGGGGGATGCCCGGGGCAAAGGGAAAGGGGGAAAAATGGTACGGAACAGTTAAGCGGACAACTACCAATGGGTTGTTGAGAAAAGGGGGGGCCCTTAACGGTGGATTATGGACCTTGGTTTGGTTTGGTGTGGTGTGGTGGTGGTGGTGTGGGGTTTCGGAGCTGGGTTATTGGGAAGCAGGTGCCTAGGTAGGGCTGGGGCGGGAGGGGGGGGGAGTCACTCCCTGGTCGCCTGGCGGTTGTCCTCCTGTGCGTCTACTGCCCCCAGTCGGTTGTATAGTCGGGTTGCGGATCGATCGGTGGTAGGTCGGTCGGTCCTTCCCCTGCTGCACACCATCAATGGCAGCCGCCCGGGGGGGGGGCCAGGACCCGGTGCGCCGCTGAGGGGTACGGGTCCGTTGACATCACGAGGTGTAGTAGCTGGCCGCCGCTGAAAGAAAAGGGCCTCTCGAGATGCTCTGGTGGTCGCGCTTCGCGCGTATTTGTAGTTGTTATGTGAGCCGTACTGTGTACCGGCTACTGCACGAGGCGACCGCAGTGTTTGTCAGTGTTTCCGGGCCAGTGTTCTGACATCTTGCGCCGCTTGTCGCGTTGCCGTACCGTACGATAGACTTTGGACGAGAACCTTCGCCATCCACAGCAGTACATACAGACGGGCGCGGTGGCGGCAGTTCGGGCGTACGCCAGGTGCGAATTGGGGGGGTGATGGGGGTGATGGTGACCTTGTTGAATTACGTCGGTCGGTTGGCTGTTGGCGGTTTGCGGTTAATTTACTGTTATTGTTATTTTGTAGTTGTGGACTCCTTAAGAGTTCTTTAGGGCACTTCAGAGTACTTCAAAAAGATTACTCCGCGTCCGGCAATGATATGACCCTACAGTGTACGCATCCCTCGACATTCGTACCATTGTACGAACAGAGCGTTATTTGTACTTTGCGAACGACATGGATTCTTTTTGCTTCTACTTGCGCGCAGGGCCTACCTGGCCGGCGACCCACGGGCCGCCGCTGCCTTCCGCACCCGATACCAGGACGCCTACCTCACCCGGCTGCACGACCCCAATGTGGCTGTACGGCGGGGCTACAGCCTGGCTCTGGGCTCTCTGCCTGCTCAGCTACTGCGGCCAGTGCTGGAGGAGGTGAGGTCGCGCTGTGCGTGTGGTGCTGTGCGGTGCTGTGCGGCCGGAGAAATGTTGTTGTTGCTGTTGTAGTTATCGTTGTTATTATTGTTGTCGGGGAGGGGGCTGGAGGTTGGGTTTGTAGGGATTAGGAGGGAATGCCGACCCGCTTGGGTTTCGAACCCGCCCTCCCCTAAAGTCCCCGGGAGCCACCGTATCCGGATATGTATAAATGTTTACATGTATGCATGTGTTAGCACGTGTGTATGTATGTATATAATGCATGTCCCAGGCGGTGGACGCGCTGGTTGACGGCTGTGTGCCCGAGGAGGACATTGACGAGCGCGATGTGGAGAGCAGGGTCAACTGCACCCGGGGCCTGGGTGAGAGCGCTGGAGGGAGGGAGGGGGTGAGGGAGGGAGGGGGGTGAGGGAGGGAGAGAGTGAGGGAAGGGGGGTGAGGGAGGGAGGGGGGTTGAGGGAGGGAGGGGGAGGGAGGGGGTGAGGGAAGGGGAGGGAGGGAGGAAGGGAAGGGAAAGGGGGGAAGGGGAGGGGGGGAAGGGGAGGGAGGGAGGGAGGGAAAGGTGAAAGAAAGATACACAAAGTGGGGGATATGTTGGTAGGTGCAGATAACCGAGTGCCAGCTGGACCAACCAAACAGCTCGAGCCGTACCTGGGATACACCGGGGGGGTCGGGGTGGGGGTCGGGGTGGGGGTCGGGGTTAGGGCCGCATGCCGCCGCGAATTAAAGGTCCCCCTGCTCTCTGCGTACCTTTTCCCGGACTCCTTCCTCGTGCACATTCGCATAATCATACGCATTACACATGCCCGCGTCCGCCACCCCTTGGCACCGACATGTTGATGTCGTGTCGGTGCCAAGGGGTATGCGTATGATTATGCGTATGATTATGCGAATGTGCACGAGGAAGGACACAGACACGGACGCGCGCGCGCACGGAAGGAAGGCAGGAAGGAACTCGGCTCTGTGTCCAGCTCGTTTGGCGCCCTCAGATCACCCACCGAATATCATGGCCCCGGCCCACTCCCACTCCCACTCCCACCCCCACTGTCAGGTCTCCTTGTTGAGACTATGTTTGCTGAGAGCGGCAGTGGCGCTGTGGGGCCCTGCAGGGAGGCGGCCGAGGTGCTGCAGGACAGGGTGGGTGGTAGTGGGTAATGGGCGGGTGGGTAGTGGGTGGTAGTGGGTAATGGGTGGTAGCGGTTAATGGGTGGGTGGGTAGTGGGCGGGTGGGTAGTGGGTGGTAGTGGGTAATGGGTGGTAGTGGGTGGGCACAAGCTCAACTGGATGGGCTGTGTTGCAGTGTTTAGGTGCCGAGGATGAGCGGACGGCCACCAGAACCTCCATCCGTCAGGTGATTACCCTGAGAGGGACCCGGAACGTTGCTCGCGGGCCACCCTCGTCAGGCTCTGCCCGGGTGGCGCAGGTGGTTATTAAAAACAGGCTTATCACGCTACCAGGCAAATTCTCGTGCGGTCCAGCGCATGGGCGCTCAATGTAAGAGCACACCCTAGGGAAAAGGACGTCCGCAAAAAACGTCACATACGCATAAGCCCCTTGTGATTTTATGGCCGCTGCGCCATCACACGTACGTTTTGTACGGCACCGTACATGCTCGTACCCGCGCGCGCACAGGTTCTGCCTTGCCTGTGCGCTTCCCTGGAGGATTACACCACTGACAACCGGGGCGATGTGGGCAGTTGGGTGAGGGAGGCGGCGATGGGGGTGTTGGCGGCGGTAGTGTCGCTGCTGGCGAGGTGCTACTGTAACGGAGACAAGGGCGCGGGACAAAGCCGCGATGGCGGAAGCGGCGGCGGCGGCGGCGGCGGCGGCGACGGCACGCCTGATAAGGACTCGGAACTCGGCCGGGAGCTGACGAGTGAGTGGACCGTATATCCTCCATTTTCAGTATCCTCCTATGCTTCGCTTCCTTCCCTAAGCGTGTTTTTCCTTTTTGCTATTTCTCTTGTGATGTCTTTGGGATCCGTGCGTTTCCTGGCGAAGGGGATATATTACTGTGGTTATTGTTGTTATTGTTTGTACTGCAGAGATTGCCGGGAACGCCATGGGGCTTTTGCTGCGCCAGTCGGTGGAGCGGATAGGTCGTGTACGGGAGTGTGCTCTGCGTCACGTGGGTTTGCTGCTAGCGGATGTCAGCCTGACGCCGTTCATCCCCGCCGCGGTGCGTGTGGCGGCCGCCGTCAAATCGGCGGCGGGCGCAGCGGACGCCGGCGGCGTGGCGGCGTCACTAGAGGCGCTTCAGCGTATAGTTGTACAGCTGCTGGACGAGCCATCGTACACGGGGCCGCTGCTTGAAGGCCTTGTGGCCAGCATCGGCGGCGTCGATAACTCCCTTGCCAAGGTGGCATCGGCGGCGCTGCTGGAGGCTCTGGCGGCGGCGCCTCGCCATGGCGGCGGCGACGGCGATCCAGCTGCCGTCGCTGACGGCGCCACTGGCAGCGGCCAGTCGTTACCACCGTCGGTGCAACCGTCAACGTTTACGGCAGTGGCGGGCCATCTTCTTGACATCTGGTCCCGCCACGCCAAGTCTCCTCGTCTTGCAACACCGCTTCTGCGGACCGCACTGTTGCTAGTCACCAAGGCAGCGGACGTGGCGGAGGTACAACTGCCGCGGCCGCCACCTCCACAGGCAGCGGCAGCAGCCATATCAGAGCCGCCGTCGGCGCCGCCGCCGTCGTCGTCGTCGTCGTCGTCTTCATCCTCCCCCGCGTGTTGCTCTCGCCTCGTGGATCATCTCGTTGAGGTGGTACGTGCGGAGACTCGGGGCTGTGCTGACGTTGCGCGCCTGGTGGACGCCGGTACGCTTCTCTGTCACTTGGTGCCGTACGGCGGCCACTGTCGTACGTCAGCTTTGCAGGGCCTGATGGTGCTGCTCTGCAGCAGGTACCCCAAGGTGAGGTGGCTTCCGCTGGGGTTGGGGTCCCGCAAGGAGCGCAACCCTCGCCCTTATTTGCCGGCGGCTGGGGTGAGTGGGTGGGGCGGGTGCAGCTGGGGTGAGTGGGTGGGCGGGTGGGTGGATGCAGTCCGGACATGAAGCGGAGTTGTGGATTTTGTCATTTTTGTTCCTTCAGCCTCCTCCCCCTTTCTTAGTGCCACCTGTATGGCAGGGCGCGCGCGCGCGCGCGGCGGACAGGGCGCGCTTCTGTCCTCTCCGCCTCAAGAAGACCCGGCAATCCCTGTCACACCCTACCGGCTATGAACTGCTGTTGTACACAACACCCGCCTGCAGGTCCGTCGCAACACTGCGGAGCAGCTCTATCTGCAGCTGCTCGCTTTGGACTCCTCGTCCGCCGTATCTACCGCAGGAGCCGCCACTACAACGACCACTAATGGGTCTGACGCTGAGTCCGCAGCGGGGTTGACGGCGGCGGCGTCGTCAGGAGGTCCTCCTTCCCTGGAGCAGGTGGCGGAGGCGGCTTGCGACCTGCTGCTGCTGACCTCCTGGGAGGGGGACCTGGATGCGGCCAAGGCAGCTAGGGACGAGCTGGCGGCGCTTGTGGGCGTTACGGTGCCCAAGATGAAGGCGCAGGCGGCGGCTGGACGGGTGGCGGCGGTGGCGCGGGACGAGAACGCGTCATACCAGGCACTGCTGGATGATTTTGCTCGTGGTTACTGAGTGAACTGAGTAGCAGGAAGTGGAGGAGTGGAGGTGGAGGAGTGGAGGTGGAGGAGTAGTTAAGGATTGTGAATTGCTGAAGTACTGATGGCATGGCTGTGATGGGCGGCTCGAGGAGACACGAAGCGACTAAGGTGTAGTCGCACGACTGAGTTCAAGTGTGTGTGTTGGCAGGAACACCTCCCAGCCGCGTGTTTGTTGTGTATCCTGTACATGGCCCTGAATGCGGTGCGGTAGCGGGTGGGAATGAATGCTATAGTAGTACATGCTTTAGGAGGGGTTGGGCAGGGAAGTGGCAGGGTGGGTGGATTGCATTGCGCAGGTGTAACGGAGCCATACCAGGACGCATGTGGGTTAGTCTGGAACGGAAAGATGAGCACCTGGGTTGGAAAGCGACGGCGTGCGTGTGAGCTACTTGTAAATAATTTCGGGGTCTTCGTGGGAGGGGGCCTCTGCACCGCCACCGCCGTCATCGTCCCGTGCCGCTGCGGTAGGCCGGGGTCGTAAACCAGGACCAGGGGCACTTCGGAGCCCCGCCACGTGCTGGTTATTGCGGGAGAGTTGATTAGCATCAGGCCGGGTGATGAATGAATGGGCTGACAAGTGCGGGGCCCCGTCGGCTGAAAAGCCTCTCATGCAAAGGACGAGGCTAAAACAGGCAATACAGGAGAATCACATTTGCTGTGCCATGCCTGTGAGGCCAATGGGCTCATTTCACTACTGGGTTTGAACCTCTCACTTCGGAAATCAGGTACGGCCGACGGTGCTGCTGTACGGCGGCAAGGTCTTCTTCACCGCTTTCAGCTGGAAACAGCAGGGGTTGATTCGATTGAAGACCTAAGCAGTCTGTGACTTGTAAGGAGTTGTGGACCAAGATAGAGCGACAGGCTTTGGGGCTCTCTACCAACGAAGCTGTCTCCCTCTTTGGACATAGGCCCCGAGAGCGTGCATGGGGTTTTCCCTTTTGTTGAATGAACGGATATCGGGGTTTAAGTCAACCTACACGTGCATGATTGAATGTTATGGTTGAATGCTGCCTTGCGCTGCTCGAAACCGCCGCCTGGCCCAGCGGACGCAGCAAATCGGTGATAATCGTTAATCGTCTCTCGTCTTCTCTCGCTATGGGAGAACCTGTTACTGCCGGCCCCTGAGTTTGCCAAAACTCGCGTATTCCAGTCAAAGTGTTGCATGAAAAATTACATAAGTGTTACCAGCCAGCATTCTAAAGTGCATTAATTCAGCAAGACGGCAACGCAAGGCGCATTATGCTATGCTATGCTATGATAGCCAAAAACGTCACAATCCCCTAAAATGAAGACGATGTGCGTAATGGAAACTTGGCTTTTTCCAAATTAGGCTGAATAACTGCATTCTACATTCCTTGCTATCCATGACTCTTGCTATTGAAAGCTCGAACGGGCGTATGTTATCGCTCAAGATTAATTCATCATGTCCTTCATATTTAACATTACACACGGACTGCCTTGTGGGGCTAGAAGGGGCTAAGCAAGTCCAAGCGGAAGTTGGGGGTTATCGGCACGGCAATCGGCTGACCTAACACCTTTGGTAAATGTTTCATGTTGACACAACTATCGCATGTCTGAGTTATGTAAATGCATGTGGAGATCCTAAATCAGGCAGTGTCACGCACGTCGTCTTGGAAACATTTCATCTGTAGAATTCTCGCGCAGAGGATCCTGAGACTTTACATGAGATACTGAGTGCATGCATGTACAACGAGATTGCTAGGTCACAAGCAGGTACGCTCGGTTGTACCTCTCGGCAATCGTACCGTCTTTGGGTCGGAATCAGCCTTTGCTTAAAATATCGATAATTACACAATCTGGAATTGCTATAACTCTACTGAAGACTTCCAGCTGCATACACATAGCGTCGTATACATTTCTTTAATCAAGTTGAAATGGCCCAAACCATGCGTATGCAGTGCACCTCCGGCACGGCCGTCAGCCGCAAGGCATCTATTGCACCAGTCAGCCGCCTTGTGGCTCGCCCCTTTACTGCTCAACGTCCTGCTGTGACGGTTGCGCGTGCTAGCGAGGTGGCTGTCGGCCGCGCCAACGTCGTTGCTCGGGCTGCCGCTGCACCGGAGTCGCCCTCGGCGCAGCAGTCGAGCCAGACCAAGGCGGGTCCTGCAACTTCGGCGCCTGATTGTTCGACTGTACTCATCTCCAATTGTGGATCTGCAGGAATGGTCGGCGCTTGTGTGCAACTGCGACTTCTTCTTCAATGATCCCCAGAACGAGTCGGTGGCTGAGCAGCTAAGGGAGCGCGTTCGCTTCTTCAAGGAGCAGAACCGCGATATTGATTTTTATATTGTTCCGGAGCCTGTCTGGCTTGATAAGAAGTTCCCCGAGCTGGCAAAGCAGGTCAAGCGTCCTTGCGTCGCCCTGATTTCAACGGATAAGACCTGGATCACGTAAGAGCTCTGAATTGGTCTATTGCTTTGGGCTGAGAGATCTTTCTGGTGTTTTCTTGGGACCGCACATGCATTGCACTCGCAGACGTAACCTTACCTAGATCCTCATTACCTTTTAAGTAAATAATCATGTGCTATTCGTAAAGGGGAATATAGATCTAAAGGATCCGCGTGCTAAGACTATTCGACCTGCACACATCCGTGTCCGTTCCTAGGTTCATGAAGCTCCGTCTGGATCGCGTGCTTCGCATCGACCTGAAGGACATGCCGGACAGCGAGGTTCTTGCCGTTGGTGGCGAAGTCCCCGAGTTTAAGCCAGTGGGCAAGTGGACCGCGCCGTACGCACGGTACACGCCGGGCTGGTGGAAGGTGTTCGAGCCCAAGCACTAAAACGGAACGGGGGCTTAGAGATGCATAGTTGTGCTTTACTTAGAGAGTAGTTGAGGGTTTTGAAGGACGGGGCAAGCCGGCCGCGCGGTTTGCACCCATGTGCTATAACAGAGTGTCTTTGTAGCTTTAGAAACTTTGACCGCGAGGTGAGGATGGAGCAGCGCTGTGTTTAAACTCCAGCAGTGCTGAAGGGAAAAGGGTTAGCGGGTAGATGTTACCACATTAATACACGGATTTTGTGCCTGCGGCTTCGGTCAAGAGTGGCCTGCGCTGCGGTTGGTATGCAGGAATGGCAGGCTGTGCGTGGGTTAGACCGTGCTTTGACTTACCGTGTCTTCTTTTGTTGTACTGGATGGGATTCCGCCCTCTTGAACTTCAAAATTGACACATTATGGTTGACCAGTTTGTCAATTCACGTTCTTTACTATCTATGATGATGACTGATTTGAGTGTTTGACATATGTGGTGTATTAGGAATTCAGTACGGTGAACTGGCCTGCTCCAGGACATACGGAGTGCGCGCTATGCTGGGCAAACCCGCTATGATTTTTACACATGGCTTTGCCGGTATGCGGGATGCATGTCGTGCCAGGGCCACTCCATATCCTCATGACGATGTAAGCTCTGAATTGATGGACAGACATCTCATTCCAGAACACTTCACTTGCAGCCGAAGCACATATGTCCTCTTAGCACTAGCGACAACCCGTCGCTGTGCGTGTTTTGGCACCTGGGAGCGTGGCATTCGTGAGGCAGCGGTGGACTATATCAGGCCCACAGCACTAATCGTCCTCTAGGGGGCCCCGGTGCTTTTGAGTGCAGCGTTGGCGGTCGTCACTTGTCGTCGGGGACCGTCGGTGTCCAGACAACAGTCCAATAACCATTGCTAGTCAGCCGGCAACCACCTGCTCTGCTGGGTATACTCCAATACATGTATAATACGGAATCTGATATCTGTGTTTGTGTGTTTCTGTTACATGTTGATCCGGGCCTGGCGCTGGCCAGGGGCACCTAACCGTACCCCAACGGGAACGACCGCCGACGCACTCCGTCAATGGAGGGGCGTTGTATCGGTCAGAATCCTAACTGTTCTCCCCCATCATTGCAAGGCGCCGTCACCTGTTCGAATTCTCTAGCCAGCTATATACACCAGCTCAGACGCCCAGCAACCTCCGTTCCACTGAGCGCATGCTCTAAAGCCTCCTATCCTTGCGAAGTCTGACCCCGTCCAGTTTCGTTATCCAACCACCATCTGGTATACAATCTGGTCCAGGCCCTACGCAGAACTATTCCATCACTGCTCTGCAGCAGGGAAAAGACCTTCATGGTGAGCAACCAACCGCCCAACCGCCAACCAACCGCCCAGCGCAGTGGAGGAACCTCAGTGTCTCCATCACCCCGAGCTATTTCATCCGGGGGACCAGCGGTGGGATCCGAACCCATGTCTTCCGGTAAAGCTAGATACCTAGTGTAGGTGTGTGTGTGAACGTTACAAGTATCTGACCGGGCCTGACACTGTAACCCCGAAACCCTGTACATATCCTACGCCTCCCTATTAAGGCAACAGGCCCTACTACACAGGTCGGTCCCGCGGGTTCCCAAGCCCTACAGCAACGACCTCATAAAAAACCTCCCACTGTCCCCGCCTGGCGCAACCTGCGGCACGGCGAGCCCTCTAACTCGAAAAGCCCCCATAACCAGACCCAACAAAGGAAAACCCTCGGGCCTATCCCCTCCCCCCACCCAGCGGGATAGCCCATCTACCGGGGTCCTCCTAGCACCCTTTCTATTCCCCCACCCCTTCCTCTCCCAGCCTAACTGGCTGTACGCAACACACGTCCACAACCGATATAGAATGGGATGGTCGGGGCCCACGCTGTCCCAGCAGCGCCGGGACACGCCGAGCTCCGCAAAGCCCTGAACCTGCTCCCAGAAGTCGACGGCACCGCACGGGCTCTCGCGACCTCCAGCGGGGCTGCTGAGGCCTCGGGTGCGGAGGTTGGATTGCAGATTGCCGCCCGCAGTCCCGCCCTTGCACGTTGCATGCGGACAGGGCCGCGAGACTGACCACGTCCCACACGCACTGCTGCACCCTGCTGGGTGCTTCTGCGAGCAACACGTTCGCCCGGGATATGGGTCCGGGCATCTAGGCTGCGATCTGCTGTATCACCGCCTGCGCCACTGGCCACTCCCAGAGGTGATGCGCACGCGGGAAGCATTGCAACGCCTGCTGTTGCCCTCTGCCGCTCCTCCGAATCCGCCACAGCCACACGGCTCCACTGGGGTGCCGCGTAGATGCGTGTTACCGGGCAGGTGAACAGCGTGCGTCGATATCCAGGCGCCAGAGAGCTTCTCTGTGCTCCTGCTCCCACGTGACCGCCCACAGCCGTCGCAGTGTTTCCGGCATGCAGCAACCCCGCTGCGTGGGGGCTGATGCTGCCGCTGCTGCGGCTGCGGCTATGGCTGTTGTAGCTGGCTGCTGCGGTTGTTGCTGCCTCGCTTCCTGTTCGTACCTGCATGCATGCAGGCCGACCCGGCGCTCCGTGACCGCCTGCAGCTGTAGCTGTAGGTGTGCGACGAGCTTGAACTTGATCATGTGGCCGCGCAGTTACACGTGCAGCGGGCCCCCCAGCCGCCAGCAGCCCACACGGCCCAACAGTTGCGCACGTACCGTGTCCTCGGAGTCCAGTCAAGCTGTATGCTCTGGGTGGTCCAGGACCTCTGCTGCCGCTGCTCGCCATTCTGGCCTGATGTCCGCAAGCAGGCGTTGGATCGACCGGAAGCTGGTCGTGCCGCGGGGCGCCAGCTGGGTTTGGTCCCACTGGTCCCACGCGGCCCCATGGCCGGGGGCATTCACTGCCGCTCGGCCGATCTGCACCGCATCGCCCACCGTCCGCATTACCTCGCAGGGCGCAAGCCGTGTGTGGCGGCTTTCGAGCCCTAGCCGGGTAAAGTGGAGGGCCCTGCTGGATTCTGCTGCCGCCTCTGCCTCACCTTCCTCCTCAGGCACGAAGTCGGGATCAAGCACGTTTGCTGCTGCCCCTGTTCTGGATACGCTTTCCCCCACACAGTCCGTGCTTCACTGCTGGGCAGGATCGGGTTTCCCCGGAGGGGGATGTTGAAGCACCAGCCACCAGCCGCCGGTAATGCAGCCGTTTCCACGTCTGGTTTGTTGAATGCATGTCTCTAAGGCTGATGTGTGGGAGCCATGCACCTTAAACCCAAGAGTAACCAGATCAGTACTTAAAAGCCCGAAATGAATTAATACCAACATGTTTTCAACCTGGACATGTGCAATGTCATCCGTTTTAAAGTTCAGGGCTCCGTTTAGGCTCCCATGGGTTTGGATGGATGGATGTAAGCCTGATGCGCGGCCAGGTGTCCAGCGCCCCGGGTGGGGTCCGGTGCCGCAGGTTGCCTCCGCCATCTGCACGGAGCTGAGGCTGAGCAGGGGGCGGTGCTGGCGCCGGGTGGTGGTCCGGTCCCCGATGGCTCCTGCCGTCCGGTCGGCATCCAGGGCCAGGCGGACCGCCCACCTTGCTTCCCGTGTGTGGATGTGCCGCGTGGGCGGGTGATGGGCAAATCCACCGGTGCTCGGTCGGCCATACTGCAGTGACCGTGGGACGCCGGTCAGGAGCTGGCAGTGCGTGTGTGTGTGTGTGTATGTGTGTGTGTGTATATATATATATATATGTGTGTGTGATACATCTGGAATTGCGCCAATCTTACAGGCTGTGTTATTGCCTTTTGGTCTGGAGTGCTTGGTGCCTGGGGTTTACAGTGTGTAGTATGTCACAACAACCAGAAATGTCGCCCTAAGTTTGCAGGCTCAAATTGTATTTACTGGAGTGCTCTGGAAATTGGTGCGCCGAAGAAGAAAGGTATCGTTACTGCTCATGACTATCTTCAAAGGACCCTGGACAGGCGCATTTGGAGGCGGCGTTGCAACCCTCAACATGTGTGGCTTGTCTGTCCACGACTTTGCGCAAACGTGTCGCCCAGCCCACAGCTCCATATTCGGTCCGAATAGCTGCTAAGAAAGAAATGGTGAGCGAGTGGTAAACTTCGGTCTTCGGGACTTTCCAATCCTTTGACGTTGGCTACAGGTGCTGGAGTCGAATGAGAAGGCACCCGGGGCTAGTGTTCCATCACGCCGAACTTTACATTCGGTGCCATGTGGCATAAGCAGGACATATGGCATAAACAGAGTATTAATTCGTCTGAGCCTGTAATACCTCTCGGTCAACGCTTCCCCTCGTGCGCTACTATGGTCCCCACCCTCCGCATACAAATCGTGCGCTCACACGCTGACGTAACTCAACGGGCCGACCTCGAGAAGACAAAACACCAAAAGCACGCCACGCAGCCGCATCACTTGCCTGCCTTTTCGGAAGCACACACATCCGAGAACGACGGCCATATCTACAACGTACATACATACAGGCCGCCCCGGATCACATAAGCCCCTTCACAGGGTCCACACTTAGAACGGCCGACTGGCCCTCACGACGACACATAGGACATCACCCCCCCCCCACACACACACACACACGCACCGAGCACCCAGGCGCTGTAGGATTGAAGGCCACCAGCAACCAGCGTGCACCAGCCCAATCGCCCACATCCGAGGCCTCAACCGCAACGAAACCTCCTCTCTCCAAGCCACGCACCGCCTCACATCCCCTAGCGGCTGTCCGCAGTGCGATCCTTTTGTAATTTGGCGAGAGGGCCTCCCCCGGGCCCATCCTCCTGTTCGCTGTGGAGCGGCCCCACTCGCACCTACATGGGGTGCTCGCACTCAACACTCGGACACGTCACACCACTTGAACGCCGCTCCTTCCCATATTCCCCTCCATACACCTTCGCGCTGTAGCCACGAAAAATAATCATCCACACATCACCTACTTTAAAATTCCCGTTCGCGTTTCCTTGCGGGCAACACCACCATACATCTCCTCGACAGGTGATGTGCTGCCGCCACCTCCTCCACCTCCTCCTCCACCTCCCCACAGCCCCTCACGGCCTTGCCTGCCAGCTCACGCGGTCGCCACCAGCTCCTTGGCCTCCTCCTCCTCCACCACGGGCGGCTCCACCCAGCGGCCATACTCCTTAATCAGCTCAATAAGTTGGTCGCAGGCCTGACGACAGGAAACGAAAACACACAGGGTCCAGTAACCTCAGATGCTGGCGGATGAGGTGGATGAGGTGGATCACCGGACACAACCTCAAGCTGCACAGAAAGGTCGTCGCAACTAGGGCCCCACCCGCAGAGAGGAAAGGTCGGCAATGGGCGGAAAGCAGGGGCCCAGGAGGGGATCGCGCGGTGGACGACACACAGCTGCCAACAAAGGGACTACAACGAGGACCAGGGGGAAAACGAAACCTTCCTGTGATGTGCAGAGGTACGGAAGAGAGCAGAGAGACAGACACACTCTGAGGGGTCTCTTTCTGAAGGGACTCTGACCCCCGTCTTCATTCCGGACGGAGCCCCCACATGACACCAGCCCACAAGCCAGCGTCAAAAAATAAAGAGCCAGCTGGAGCCCCTGGACGCGTTTCAGCATTACACGACACAACCATTCCCGCCTCTATAATCCAGGAAAGGAAGGGGGCGTGTGAGTTCTCTAGCAGCTACTATATAACTGATAAGCGGCCAGTCACCACCACTCCCACCACTCCCGAACCGCAGACACCGGGGGATTGATCTGACCTCCCTCCCCCCCCGGGGGGGCTCACTCACCGACTCCATGGGGATAGCTCGCCGCACCACCTCCTTGCCCACGTACAGGTCGATCTTGCCCGGAGCACCACCCACGTAGCCAAAGTCCGCATCAGCCATCTCACCTGTTGAGGAGCGGGCGGTGGGCAGCGAGAGGGGGAGGTTGCCGCACAGAGAATGGGGGAATGGGAAAGGATGTGTGATATGGTGGAGGGCGAGAGCTCCACACCACCAAAGGGGGTGATGATGCTGCGGACTTATCCCACAGCACAAACCACAGCAGGGCCACATGCGGTCCCATGGGATATCCCGTTAAGAAATAGGAATAGGACTAGAGGATAGCTGACAGCTGATAGCGATAGTCGATGCTGTTGTTGTTATTACAGAGTGGGAGGCTTCTGGGCCAGCAGTCGATGTGAATGTCGATGAGCCGCCGACCTTGTGCTGCAGTTGTGGCAGCAGGCTGCCTCCCACGCAACGCGCATATGTATGCGTGCGTGTGCGAGTGTGTGCGAGTGCGCGATACACCCACACACTCTCACCCACACCCACACACAAACTCCCTCACAGCACATGTACAGGGGCAGGCAACCCTACCGGGGCCGTTGACGATGCAGCCCATGACGGCGATGGCCACACCCGGCAGGTGCCCCGTGCGCTGCCGGATCTGGTCGGTCACCTCCTGCGGGAGGGAAAAGGGGAGGGGGTGGGGGTGAGGGTGGGGAAGGAAAACACACACCCACACATATAGCTACCACATGCCACCACAGGGTACCAACCAACCAGCGAGAGGCAAGACAAAACAAAGCGGAGCCTTTCAACCCACATGACCACACCACCTCACATGACAACAGCAAGGCGGCAGAACCCCGAGTGAACATACATACAGTGCCACATGCGACGATGAAAGGCCACCGCCGCCGTTCCCTTTTGCCCACCCCTAACCCCCCCCGCAGCACCCGGGCCAAAAACACCCCCAAGAAAACTGTCCTACCTAGGCCCTCTCCTCATCCCCTCGCACCTCCTCCAGCTCTTATGGCTCCTCAACAGCACCATACCTACACCATACACCACAGGCACCCCCAACCGCCGTCGTCAAAACACGGCATTACACTGCTCCTCCCTCCCGTTTGCCGCCCCGCCTCCAGCCAACAAAGTGGCGCACTTCCCCCCTCCCTCTTTCCCTCCTCCTCTTTCCCCTTTTCCCCCCCCCTTGGTCATTCGTTCCACACGGCCACCCGCACCCCCACCTGCAGGTTGAACAGCGTGCGGCCGCACGAGGGGCAAGACACGTACTCGGTCTTGGTATTGCGCATGCGGCTGCCCTGGAGCAGTCCGAAAGCTGTCGTGCGCAGAAAGTCAAGATCCTCGCCAGGGCACTCGATCAGCGCTCCGTCGCCCAAACCGTCCACCTGCCGTACGACAGGTTACGACAGTGAGTTGAATTCGTCCAGGTATTGGGGACCGTACCGAGGCCGTAACGGAGCGGAGGCAGCGGATTAGCAAATGGACCCAATGAGGAGGTAGAGGAGGATGCTCAATAGCCCTTCACCCACATTTTCCCCTTCCGTGTTTTAAACCCCCAAAACTTCAAAAAAAAACTCAACAAGCTCACCAGCAGACCTCCAACCAGTGAGCCGGTGTTGATGACGATCTCATCGCGGTGGGTTCCCGCCGGGAAGCGGATGTTGTGGATGACGGGCGCCGTGACGTTGTGGCGCTTGATGGCGTCGAACACGCGACGGGAGGCGTGCAGGCGGCTGACTCCGTCGGCGACGTTGAGCAGCACCACGATGGGCCCCAGGCCCTGGAGGGCCCCCAGCTGCTCCTCGGTCTCAGTGCCGTCCACCTCAATCGCCCACCGGGAGGAGCCCTGAGGGCAGCAGAGGGGGGGTGGACAGGTGTGTGTGTGTGCGTATGTGTGTGTATGTGTGTACGTGTGCGTGTGTGTGTGTGCGTGTGTGTGTGTGTGTGGGGGGTAGTCCGTCCTTCATGTATTCTCGCTCGGATCACGCGACCTCAGCCACCTCCCTCCTCTGAACCTTTCCTACGACTCGCAAGCACACCCCGCCATCCTGGCCGCCGTCTACAGACATCTTCGCCAGGCCAGGGTTCGGTCTCTTTCTCCCACCCACCCACCCACCCTCTCTCTCACACACACACGCGCACACACACATGCACCCTCTCTCACGCATATACATACACACGCACAGGCACACACCCCTGCACCTCCTCCACCCACCTGGGGCAGCGCAATGCCCCCCTGCACCGCCTGCTTCAGCGGCACCAGGGCGATGGCCCCGGCCAGCGGGTCCCGCGTCAGGGCGTCCAGAGGGGCGATGACGTGCGTGGTCACCTCCTGCAGCCGCCGCAGCGCCCGGCGGCCCTCCTTGTCGGCGGAGGGGGGCAGCTCCCGGAGGAGGATGGAGTCCGAGGTGGCGATGTCCTTGAAGGGCATGCCCACCGCCAGCTTGGCGCCCAGCTTCTTGTACGTCACCTGGATTGTGTGTGCGTGTGTGGGGGAGAGTGTATGTGGGGGAGAAATCAGATGATCATGATGATGATGATGCAAAAGTCGAAGA